AGTGAGCTTTTAATGCTCAAGTATTTCAATATTTAATGTTACAAATACTGCCTTATGATTGATTTCAATACTTAAATATTGATATGTAATACTTCGTCCAGTGATAAAATACTTACGCAGAGCATTGTCAATATTTAAATACTAATATATAGTACTTTGCTAAATGATAAACACTTACGCAAAGTACTATTAAGATTTAAAGTATTAACCCAGACAGCACACAATATTAGTAAGTTATTAGATAAATATTTTTGTAAATATTTATATATATTTTGGGTAATTATAGACTATAGGGGAGTTAGCTCCAATGACCTTGATCTTCACATATATTGTCAAGGTCACTACCCTGAGTAACATTCAAAAGGTTTTAGCCGTCGCTCATTATTTATTGAAAAGTTATTAACAAAAGAAGTTTCGGTAATTATAGACTATAGAAGAGTCAGCTGCAATGACCTTGACCATGACATATATTGTAGAGGTCATCCTCCTGAGTAACTCTCAGAAGGTTTTAGCCGTCGCTCGTTGTTCGTTAAAAAGTTATTAACCAAAGAAGTTGCATAAAATGAGTATAATTTTTGGACACTGTATATACGTTTCTGTATATATAGTGTCCAAAAATTATACTCATTTTATGCAACTTCTTTGGTTAATAACTTTTTAACGAACAACGAGCGACGGCTAAAACCTTCTGAGAGTTACTCAGGAGGATGACCTCTACAATATATGTCAAGGTCAAGGTCATTGGAGCTGACTCTTCTATAGTCTATAATTACCGAAACTTCTTTTGTTAATAACTTTTTAACGAACAACGAGCGACGGCTAAAACCTTCTGAGGGTTACTCAGGAGGATGACCTCTACAATATATGTCAAGGTCAACCTCATTGGAGCTGACTCCCCTATAGTTTATAATTACCAGAAATATCTAAATATCTAAATATTTTATATAATATTTATTGTAAAAAAATTAATATTTTGTAAATATTTGTATAAATATTGCACATGAAAAAAATAAATATAATTATTTATAATTATTAAATTAATAAAGAAATAGGAAAATCGAAATTTAAACTGGTAATGTACATTAAAAAAAAATTCTTTAAATGAAAGAAATATATTTTGTTACATATAATTTCTTAACTTAAAAAAATATTTGTTAAATTTTAGGAAATATAATATAATAATATATACAGGGTCCGCCATCAAAATCCGGACAAATTTCAATTTGAATTTCCCGCCTCATTTGACTTCGGTGGTAGGTCACTGTTGATGTTCGGGCAAGTCAGATGTTTGTAGTAAGTGCGCATAACCTCAAAATGTCCGAACAGATAAGATCGAATGCAGAGTATAATCGAAGAGCGGCGATAATTGAAGGCCTTCGCGCTGGGCGTTCGCGGACCGAAATTATTCGGTTCTTCGGGTACCCGAGATCGACCGTATATGACGTTGCGGCTAAATATTTGGCTTCGGAGACGTCCGAAAAAGGTTCTGCCAACCCGACAAGGAAGAGCCATTCGAAAGAAAAGTCAGTAAGGACTCCAGCAATTATCGAAAGAGCTCAAGAGCTCATCTCAGAGGACCCAGGGCTGTCTCTAACGAAATTGGCCAAAACATTGGGTGTGAGTGACACTACAATGCGTCGAATTGCTGAAGAGGACCTACGCTTCAAGTCCTATGTAATAAAAGTTCGACAAATGCTCTCTGAGGCTGCCAAGATGAACAGAGTTGCTCGCTGTAACTTGCTTCTGTGTTCGTTAAAAAACGAAGCTGCGGGACGCATCAGGTTTTTTTCGGACGAAAAAATTTTTTCTGTCGATGCCAAGGTGAACCGGAGGAACGACCGTTGGCTCGCCCGCGACCCCGAAGATGTGCCCATAATAGCTAGGACGAAGTTTCCGGTCTCTGTTCACGTCCTAGGCGTTGTCTCCAGTGAGGGTCACGTCATGCCGCCACATTTCTTTCAAAAAAAAGAAACCGTCACAAAAGAAGTATATTTACACGTTTTGACGAAGATAGTGAAGCCGTGGATAGAAACCGTGGCCGCCGGGAAGCCGTACGTCTTCCAGCAAGACGGCGCGCCAGCGCACACGAGTCACTTAGTGCAAAACTGGCTGTCGGATAAAATGGACATGTTTTGGTCAAAGGAATTTTGGCCTCCGAACAGTCCAGATTTGAATCCGTTGGACTATTACGTGTGGAGCGTCATTGAACGAGTGACCAACAAGTCGAGACATCCCAATGTGACATCTCTCCAAACCGCTATCGAAGCAGCATTCGCCAATATAGACAAGGACGCGTTGCAGAGAGCGTGCCAGCGCTTCAGGATGAGGATCGAAGCAGTCATCGAAGCAAAAGGGGGTTATATAGAGTAATTTTACTCTAAAAGGATACCACTAGTGATACACAAAAAGTTCTTTTGTAAGTTTTACATTTTGATGAGTAGAATTTTATTTAAACAAATTGTTCATTTTGTCCGGATTTTGGTGGCGGACCCTGTAATATAATAAATATAAAGTAATATTTTTTTAATATAATATAATAATATAATATAATATAATATAATAATATATAATATAATAAATATAAAGTAATATTTTTTTAAATTTGTAAAATAAGCTGTAAAATTATGAATTTCTAAATAAAAAGTGATTTCTTTGATTTAAAATATCTATATATATAAGAATAAACAAATGATTTCTTTACAAAGAGAAAATTAGTGTTTTTAAATATAAAAACTGTTTAAATAAATATTTGCTTGTTTTAAAAGTAAATAAAATACAAGTAAATCATTTTATAAATCTGAATAAATTATTTTCTAATATTAAAAATATTTTTTTATGTTTCAAATTAAAGTTTCTTTTATTATCAGAAAACAATTTATTTAAATTTACAAAATAATTTATTTTATTTACTTTTAAAGCATGTAAATATTTTTTAAATGTACTTTCTATATACTTTTTAAAATATATATTTTAAAAGAATCTATTCTCTTCTTTTAAATAAATCATATGCTTTCGTATATGGATATATCATATGTACACAATATAAAGCGTCTCTCAATCAAAGTGACAGTGATGCAGCAGGTAAGGTGAACGACTCAAGAACCAGCCCAAGTAGCAAGACTCACGTCAAAATGACGTAAAAAACTGGTCGAATAACGTCAAGTGACTAAATAACGACGTCTTTAAACCGTCTTTTTGTGACATCTTAATGATGTTTCTGTATAACGTCTTAAAAACGTATTATTGATGTTTAGAGACGTCATAAAACGTCATTAAGTCGTCTAAAATGTCATCGGTCTGTGACATTAGACCATCATTTTGACGATACTTTTACGATATTTTTGGTTAGTCCTTGGTTATTTTTGATCCTGAACTTGCTAGATTTGGATGTCATTTTGACGTAAGTCTGCTACCTGGAAGAGGTCTCAGCAATGCCCATACAGCACAAGAAGCTTGCAGCAACATTGCTACAACGTTGCAAGATTGTATATTGCAGTGCAATCCCTTATAAAAATATATACTAAGAAATACTGAAAAATTATTAGTGATTAAATATTACTAATAATTCAATAATTTTTTGCCCAGTACTTAATTTCTGGTGAATATTGATAATAAAATCATTGTTAAATATTGATAGTAATCAAATACTGAGAATTATTATGCAAAGATGAAAAATGAGAAAATCATAATGTTTAGAAAAATATACCTTAAATATTCCTAATTTTCTCATTTCTCATAAACTACTAGATATCGAAAGGTTGTCAAACACATTCCAAACTTTCGTGAATTCTCCTGTGATAATTTCAATTCCAAGCGGGATATACCACCGGTCACCATTCATGTCCTGACTCCGTTAAAGTGTTGCTTAACCTGACGATCGAGCGGCATGCAGCGATTCCCAATGACTCCAACCATATTCTTACGATTAACGCATATATAACGTATCCTAATAGTATTCATAGTATATTATAACATACCTAGCAAACACAAAATAATAGTTACATAATTTTTACTTGTTGTTCATTGGATAATTTGCTGATAGATGTTGAAACAATGCAACATTCGATATGCGATGAATATTGGTGTAATGTAGTGAACCAATGATAATTACTTTTATATTTTTAACAAAATGTTATAATGATTAATTCAAACAAAAAAAAATTAAAACATTCAAGAAAATCCAAAGTAAACAAATCGAATTACTAAATTTTGAGAAACTTTTAAAACATATTATTTAAAACGATAGTGTTGTTTTATCAAATGACATGATTTCCTTGAAGGAGGGAGTGAGGAGTTTGATACAGAGGAGGAGGAGGAGAAAGCGTGAACCTTGGCCAAGTTGCGAAAACCGGGAAAAGAATAGAGAATTTGTACTGAAGAAAGTAAATTATGTGAAAGAAAGTGCGGGCTATATGGAAGAAGTTATTAGTAGAAGCAAGAGAATGAGTAGAACTGAAAAGGATGAACTCACATTAAGAAAGGAAGAAATGATCAGATATAGTGAAGACTTGGCCAAGATATTTAAGATAAGGACAGAACATCTAGAGCAAAAGATAGGAGATCTAAATAAGAGGACGGAAGATGATCTTACCAGAGAAAAGGAATATATCATGAAACTAGGGGATTGGATAAGGAAAGGAAGGGAATGGGAAGATGAAAAGAAAGAGATGAAGGAATTGCTTGAGAAGGAAAGGGAGGGATGGAGGAAGGAGAGAGAGCGGCTGAAGGAAAGGATAGGGTTCATGGAATGGAGAGCTGCTGCCCTCAGGGTGGGTCGTGGCATGGCCCTCGCGAAGCTCGACCGCGACAAGTTGGCGCCTTAATGGCGGCTACATGGGGGGAGCCGGTCCCACACCTGGGACCCATTGAAGATGAGGTGCCCGGGATTCGGGGCATGATGACGGCGGCGTGTGATGCCGCCATGCTCCAATCCCGGCCGCACCCCCACCGGTCCATGTACTAGTGGTCGGTGGAGATTGCCGAACTTCGGCGCTCCGCCGGCTACGCCAGGAGAATCATGGACCGGCGGGGTCGAGATGGAGAGGGCAGGGTGGCCGCCGAGGGGGCTTACCGCGAAAAGCGGGATGCCCTCAAGGCGGCCATCGCTGCGGCCAAGGCCCGTGCCTGGGATGACCTGCTTTCCATTATTGATAGAGATCCATGGGGACGCTCTTATCACATCGTGATGAGGCGTTTGCGCCATTGGGCGCCCCCACCGACGGCGTCCCTGGACCCCGACTTCCTTGATAGGGTTGTGGGGGCCCTCTTTCCATGGGGGGAAGCTTGCATTCCCCCCTATGAGGGCCCCCCTCCAGATGGGGAGGATGAAGAGGTCGGGGTCACGATGGTGGAGATGGACAGGGCCGTCAGGAAGCTCGGCGCCAAAAAGTGGGCGCCGGTATCCTGACGGTATCCCGGGCACAGTGTGGGCCTTGGCGATGAGGTTGGAGGAGGTGAAGGGCCGAATGATGAGGCTCTTCACCTCCTGCTTGAAGACCGGGGTGTTCCCCAGCCCCTGGAAGAGGGCCAATTTGGTCCTCTTCAAGAAGGGGGGCAAGGCGGAGGACAGCCCTTCCGCATACAGACCGATATGATTGGACAAGGCGGGCAAATTGTTCGAAAGGATAATACACTCCCACCTCGTCCGGCACCTATCCTGGAGTAGTCCCAAGCTCAGCAATGAGCAATACGGCTTTCGGGAGAGACGGTCGAGTGTGGACGCGATCCTGCGCGTTCGGTCCTTTTTGGAGACCGTTGTGAGGGGGAGGGGGTGGGTTGGCGGTGTCCTTGGACATCGCCAACGCCTTTAACTCCCTCCCCCTGGGACCAGGTGGAGGCGGGCTTTGCCCACTTTAGGCCCCACCCCCTCATCTGGTCTCAGTGATAAGGGACTACTTCCAGGACAGAAGACTGGAGTTCTGCAACAAAGCGGAACTCCAGTGCGGAAGGGCGGTATACCGCGATGTTCCGCAGGGGTCCGTGCTAGGACCCCTATTGTGGAACATCGCGTACGACCGAGTCCTGCGCTTTGCCCTCCCCCCCGGCTGCACCGTTGTCTGCTACGCAGACGACATTTTGGTGTTAGCCGGGGGCAGGGGCTGGCGGAATGCCCTGGAGTTGGGCCGTCTAGCGGTGGATCAGGTGGTGAGCTCCCTAAAAGCGATGGGCCTCAGGATGGCTCCCCATAAAACGGAGATCATGTTTATGCATGATCGCTCGAGGGGGGAGCCGCCTAGGACCCGGGTTCGGATCGACAATGTCTCCGTGAGGGCGGCTTCCACGTTAAAGTATCTGGGACTCGTCCTGGATGGCAAATGGGGGTTCCGGAAGCACATTGAGCCCTGGTCCAAGTTGGGCAGGGTGGCCAATGTGCTGGGTGGCCTCCTGCCCAATCTCGGCGCAAGAGGAGGGCACGGCGGCTGTATGCCGGCGTCGTCCACAGCATAGCCCTTTACGGGGCCCCGGTCTAGGCGAGCGCGATGACGACCAACCAGCAATTAATCGCGCTGGCACACCGCGTACAGCGGTGGGTCGCCATTCGCCTCGCCCGGGCCTACGTCGCATATGGCCGCCACGGCCCTGGCCGGACTCCCCCCGCTGGAGCTCCTTGAACAGATGCACGCCGAGAACTATCGGCATGTCAAGGGGCTCCGTGTTGGGGGAGACCTGAAACATCTGGCTAGGGCCATCGTCTAGCGAAGGACCAGGCCCGTCAACGCCTCCTCCTAAGGTAGAGCATCCATCTGGAGAGGGCGACGGGCCGGTAGGGAATGAGTCCGGTAGGTCGCCGAAACCATCCGGCTCTGTCTACAGGAGTGAGTGGACAGGGCTCGCGGGGAGTTGTCCTTCCGGACAACGCAGGTACTCACCGGACATGGATGCTTCGGTGAGTACCTGCATAGGATAGGTAAGGAGCTCACCTCCCGCTGCCACCACTGTGGTGATGAGGTGGACTCTGCGCAGCACACCCTCGAGGAATGCTCCTCGTGGGTGGCAGAGCGCCGAGTCCTGATTGAGGTGGTGGGAGCGGACCTCTCTCCCCCGGCCCTTATCAGGGCCATGCTCGGGGAAGATGAGGGCTGGTCCGCCGTCACCTCTTTCTGCGACGCAGTTGTGTCGCAGAAGAAGGAGGCGGAGAGAATTAGGAGGGGCGAAGCCGCCTCTCGGGACGGTGTGAGGCTCCGCAGGAGAAGGGCGGCGCCTCGCCTACCCGCGGACCAGCGCGGGATTGAAGGGCGGCGCACCCGTGGGCGGGGAGGGAACGTCACAGCTGGTGTTCCCTCCCCCGGGGTACCTGCGGGTGCGCCCCCCCCCACCGCCGCCGGCTCCTCCTGGCGGCGATCGCCGGAGGACCCAGCCTGGGGGAGATAGGAGGCGCCTGGTCGGGCGGGGGAGACGCGTCGCAAGGCGCGTGACGAGAAGTCAGACCAGGCGCCTCCGGGAGGGGGACAGGGCGGCCGGTTTGCAAGGGCGGATTCTTAGGCCGCTC